ATGTGTAATGGTGGCATATAGAAGCATAGGGAGAGAGAGGAGAGGAGAGGAGGGGAGAGGCGAGGAGAGAGCAGAGCAGAGCAGAGCAGAGCAGGAGGGGAGGGGAAAGAAACTCAGAGCATCATGGGCCCCCCAGCAGCCTAGGCCTATAGCAGCATAACTAAGGGAAGGCTCAGGGTCACCTGGTCCAGCCCTAACTATAAGCTTTATCAAAAAGGAACGTCTTAAGTCTAATCTTAAAGGTAGAGAGGGTGTCCGCCTCCCGAACTGAGACTGGGAGTTGGTTCCATAGGAGAGGAGCTTGATAGCTAAAGGCTCAGCCTCCCATTCTGCTTCTGTGGACTCTAGGAACCACAAGTAAACCTGCACTCTGAGAGCAAAGTGCTCTGTTAGGATGATAAGGCTCTACGAGGTCTTTAAGATACGATGGAGCCTTGTCATTAACATTACTCTGGCTGCAGCATTTTGGATTAGCTGGAGGCTTTTTAGGGAATTATTGGGATATACTTATAGTAAAGAGTTACAGTAGTCCAGCCTGGAAGTAACAAATGCATGGACCAGTTTTTCAGCATCACTTTGAGACAGGATGCTCCTGATTTTTGCAATATTGGGCAGGTGAAAGAAGGCAGATCTAGAGACTTGGTTTATGTGTGATTTAAAGGACATATTCTGATCAAAGATGACTCCAAGGTTCCTCACAGTAGTACTGGAGGCAAGAGCTATGTCATCTAAAGTAACTATATGATTAGACAGCAGATTTCTAAGGTTTTCAGGCCCAAGCTAGGAGACACACTGAGGACTGGGAGATAAAAATGGTATAACACAACAACGACATAAGGGACCTGAGATCGAGATTGAACTGGCAGGGGAGTGAAAGGAGAGCGGGGTATAAGTAGGGTAAAAACTAATAAGGAGCAGTTGGTGATAATCAGGGGATGTGAAGCAGATGTGCCAGATAGTGTAATCAGGGCAGAGGGAGCGAAACAGAGTGAGGGAGGTGAGAGAGGCAGGTGAAGGCGGGCAAACCTGACAATTTGTTTATTTAAAAGAATCCCCACTGGCTGAGTACCACAGCAGTCAGCTAATATTCATACATCAAAAATTGATAGCCAGTTGATGAACTTAAATACAAATAACATATATATATTTGTCATCTTCAGTCAGAATTTCTGAAGATGGAAAAAGGATACCCACCACAGGAATCAGCTCCACCATACCCTGGCCCACCTTTGAACTATGGGAATACAGTGCCTCAGCCACAGATGTACCCTCCACCTGCTGGCTACCAGGAAGGTTTGTGTCTGTGGCCACTGCCTAGGTTGAAACACCTAGGAGGCTCCTTGAATAGTTTTTGCTATTTTGGAAACATCTGTTCTCAACCATTTGTGTGTTTCATCTCCCAGGTGGTCCTTATGCTCCTGCCCCAGGTGTTCCTTATACTCTTGCCCCAGGTGGTCCTTATGCTCCTGCCCCAGGTGTTCCTTATGCTCCTGCCCCAGCCGCACAGCCCACAGTTGGTGAGATGACCTTTCCATGAATAACACAATGTCATTTCTCAGAACATATGCATGCACACACATGCACATATTATAGGTCTGTTTACACACTGCACATGCAAACAGAGAAGTGAGACAAAGTCAGTGGGCAAGGTCCTTGGCCTCCCACCAAACTGATCTGAAGAATGGCTCATTTGTAGCCTCGGTTGCTAACAAAAGGCGATTGTTCAGTGTTTGTTCTGTGCACAGTGACACTGTGACTATTGCTTTTTGTAAGAGAAGACTAATTATTCCTATCACAGGCACTGTATATTACTTCTTCACACAGAACTAACATCATATCAACCACAAAGCTCATATGAACTGTGTTATATCTATCTTACACTGATTTTTCAGTTTTATTAGCCTTCCACTGATGATTACACACCACAGTGAGATCAGCCTGAACAACGATTTACTGTAAACATTAGGGATGGCCCAGATAAATGGCCCATTAGCGTCATTACAGTGGTGAAATAAAGGCTAATGGACAATAGAGCATTCAACAAATTACTGTTGTTCTGCAGCCCCTGCTGGACTTGTTGTGTCTGTGCATCAGTGCATATTATCCCCAGTTCTGATGATGACAGATGAGAAGGTGAAAAGTCTACAGTAACAATGAAATATCTGACTTACTGACCATGACAGTTATCATGTTTATGAAATTATGTGTTAAAATGTGTTACCAACAATCAAACTGCATTAGTTGGTGTCTAAAAAGGTGCCGGGCCCCTTTTTATAACATGTCTCATTTCTTCTATGAGCCACAATTGTGGATTTGTATTTGACCTCATGTGTCTGCATGTACAGTCACTGCCAGCGTTACCTTCTACAGTGTGTCTGGTCTAGAATCTTTTTACTGTATTGATATTGGTTACAAGCAGGGCTGTGTCAGGAAGGGCATCCGGCATAAAAACCTGCCAAATTTAATCATGCGAATCAGATTTACTGTGGCGATCCCTAACGGGAACAGCCAAAAGTAGTAGAAGAAGAAGGTTACAAGCAAAGATTTGAAAGTGCACAACTGCTTCTTCTTTTCAGTGACAAAGTAATTAAGTCAGAAATTGTTCTAGAAAGGGTGTGTTGCACTCATTTTAAAATTGAGTTAATATAGAGATACACCCTTAATGTGTTTTATGTGTATTTCTGTTCCTCAGTCACTCACATGGTGGTAACACCTCAACTGCATGACGTCTCAGGACAAACTGTGTGTCCCCACTGCCAGAAAACAGTGCTCACCGTTACAGAGCACACACCGGGACTGATGGCCTGGGCCATCTGTGGCGGCCTTGCCATCTTTGGGTAGAAACTTGCACTGCATTTCTGTTATGGAAAGAGAGAAATTATAGACTATAAATCTGAAACTATAGAAAAAGTACAAAAACAATTCACTACTATTACTTTAGAAACAAAACTGGAAAGTTAAAATTCACTTTGCTTCCTCATACAGGTGTTTTTTGTGCTGCTGTATCCCGTTCTGCATTGACTCCTGCCAAGATGTGCATCATCGCTGCCCATCCTGCCACAATACTATCTACATATACAAGCGAATGTGAATCTAGCCTGAGCTATATTCAATCAGGTGGCCTTTGTAATGTATTATTCAAAAATAAATATATACCAACATATATACCACAGGACAGTGTTTCCTTCCTAGTATCCTTTTTTGTTTTTTTTCCTATTAAACGATAATAATTCAGTAAGACTGTGCACATTATCACTGTGTCACTGCGAATAATCTTACGTTTTGGCACGGTGTGACGTCATCACGTGATCTCGGATCAGCTGTTTTGATGGTGCCTTCATACATCGTCGGAAATGTTGGAAGTAAAAAGGCCACTGGAAAAGTAAAGCTACAAAAGGAATGGGAGAATGTTTAGCTCCCCCAAGTGGGGATTCACATACTTGTCACATGGAAAAAAATTATGAATACATATTTCAGCACTGGAAATCTCAGATCAGATATGTTCAGCATAAAATAGCTAAAAATATATCGATATTGGCAAGGGTTAGATATATGCTGGACGTGAAAGCACTTCGCATTTTGTATTCTGCATTGATATTACCATATTTGGAGTATGGCGTTGAAAACTGGGGAAACACTTACAGGAGTTCACTTCAACCATTGTACATATTACAAAAAAGAGCGATAAGAGTTGTGCATAAGAAGGGGTATAGGGATCACACCAATGGAGCTTTCATACGGTCTAAATTGTT